CTGATGATGCGTTGTGGCAGGCTGGGTCGCTCCCATTCACAAACACGGCACCGCCGACAGCAGCCGAGTTGGCGACAAACAGCGAGGCGAGAACAGTCACACAGGGAGAGAGGAAGAGGAAGAGGCAGGGCGAGCATCAGAACGGCACCTCAATGTACCTGCTGGGATGTTGTAGCGTTGTGGCAGGAGGGGTCGCTCCCATCCACGAACACAGCACCGCCGACAGCAGCAGAGTTGGCGAGAAAGAGAAAGTCCAGCAGGGTGGCACAGGAAGAGGGGAAGCGAACATGAGGACGGCACTGTAATGTACCTGCTGGGATGCTGTGGTGTTGTGGCAGGCAGGGTCACTCCCATCCACGAACACGGCTCCCCCGACAGCAGCCGAGTTGGCAACAAACAGCGAGTCGAGCACAGTCACACAGGGAGGGAGAGCGGATCGGGAACACGCCACTGCTTTGCTCCCAGTAGACTTGGAAGGCGTGGTCCCATTGTGGCTCTGCTTGGCTGCTCTGGGTTTGATGCTCCTGTCGGCCTGTTCTCCCAGGTACATGGCCCCTCCCCTGCTCCGGTGCTTGTTAGTAGCGTCCTGGGAGGGTTGAGGGTGGAGGGTGAAGCAAATAAGACTATGCTGAGAAAGGCAGCAGTGACAGACGGGAATGCAGCGACAGTTATGTTGTTCATTGTCTAGGAAAGGAAACATGCAGTGCAATCACCCACCATTCATACTCACGCCACACATACCATGAAAACGGCGTTGAATGCAAAATTGGTGCCATGGAAAAACGCTGCTGCGTTGCTCCCTATAGCCACCGCCCCCCTTGGCTGACTCTTAAATCGACTCAAAACCCAGCCACCATACACATATACTTCATGCATGTATCCGCCTCACGTACCATGAAAACCGAGTTGAAAGCGAAACTAGCGCCATGGAAAAACCCTGCTGCATTGCTCCCTATAGCAACCACCCTCCCCCCCCCCGCCCGTTGACTTTGAGTGGACTCAAACGCCATACATACCATGAAAACGGAGTTAAATGCGAAATTGGCACCATGGAAAAACGCCGCCGCATTGCTCCCTATAGCCACCGCCCCACCTCCGCTACCCCCGCTGTTGTTAAAGAAACTCGTGCTTATAGCGGAGAGGTAGGCCCCGGGCAGATTCTCCAGTGGTGAAGGCGATGAGTCGGGCAGCCCGGAAACGAAAATTGCCCCGCCGAACTTGCCCCGCGGGGCGAACCCGTGCAGTAGAGCGATGTTTTGGAGTGCCAGGTAACCGCCTGCCCGGACAGTGAAAATCTGGGGCGAGAAAGGAGGGGGGTGGGGCGGTTTGAATGGGGGGATTTAAGCTGGGTTGGGGTGGGGGATGGATTGCAATCCGTGCAGTAGAGCGATGTTCTGGAGCGCCAGGTAACCGCCTGCTCGGACGGTGAAGATCACGGCCGGTGGCACATATGGTTTGAGGGGGGACGCGGGGGGGAAGGGGGGGTAAAGTTGGGGATTCAAAAGGGGTATTCGAAGTCGATGTTCATTATGACTCAAAAGGAGCGCAAGGTAGCCGCCTGCGCAGACGTGCTGATCATTCTGACTCAATCCCATCTCCATCTCAATCCCTTCTCAATCCTCCCTCTCACCCCTTCCGCCTCATTCCCTCCGTCTCACCCTGGACTGCCCCTGGCCGTCGATCGTGCACTGATCGGACGAACACAAGCCCGTCACGGCCACCGCGTGTCTGACAGCTGGCAGCTCGCCATTGGTCAGGTACAGGTGGCGCGTGAGGTAGACGGTGGGCGCGAGATCCAGCAGCGCGCCACGTAAGCACGCTTCGTTATCGCACCACGTGGCAGGCTGGCGACTCTCCGCGCTCCCCTCGCTACCATCGACCTCCTGACCCCCCTCCGCGAGTGACGGCCACTCAGAGCTTCCTCCCTCGTCCCCTCCCCCATTCCCTCCCCCGCCCCCACCGCCGTCGGCTCCCACGCCCCCTCCCCCGCCCCCTCCGCCGTCGCCTCCCCCGTCCACTTCCCCGTCCTCTCCGCCAGTCGAAGTGTGGCGCATGGTCTCACCACCACCATCATCATCGTCGCTTCCCCCAATCGTATTACCATCTACTTCTGACGCCGGTACCTCTGCTGCTGTCGGCGCGAGCACCGCCGCGCTGTACGCATCCGCGCTATTATAAGCTTCGGTATAAGGGGTCTCCTCCAGCAGCAGTTTTCTTGCTCCATCGGCGCCAGTCGTGACGCGGCGTTGCGGACTCACGCTGGGAAGGTTTGGCCGGGGTATGTGGGATCTGTCTGCAAAGAGGTGTGCCTGGGGAAGGTCGTACTTGTTCCCAAAGAGGTGCGGCCGGGGAAGGCGGGATCTGACCGCCTCTGGGATGCGGATGGGTACGCTCGGCAGCAGCGATGGTAGTTCCGGTGCTGCGGGAAACGCATTACTGTTGAGGTGGAAAGACTCGAGAGGAGCACCGGTAGAACGAGCCTGAACCGTGTTAATACAGAAAATTACTACGCTGACAGCGAGAGCTACTAGGCGGCAAGCAGAAAAGCGCGGACGGAGCAGCGGCGCCGCTTCGGTTTTCATGATGAGGCGTCTGATTTATTGCACGAAATAACGTATCGATTCGACACGCGTACAGGTTCCGACAGAAATTGAGCCGGTTAATCTGCGTCGGGGACTCACCCTTGACGCAGCACGGTATTTACTAGAGATGAAACTCAGTAGCGAGAGTACTCACCCTTGGAAGGAGCAGAGCACGAGCTGTGCTCTACAAGAGGTGAGATTGAGGAGAGAATGACGAAGTGGAGAAACGGCAGTGCAGAATGTGGCAAAGTTGATTATGAAGCAAAGTTCGGACATGCGGCTCGAACCTGCTTGACTTGGCGGTGCGACGAAGCCTTCTCCACGTACCGCAAGTGCCGTTTGATGGTTGACGACTCTCGCAAATACCCGCTGTTGTTCCTCGTCCAGCCTCGTTCGTGCTGGCGAATCGGCTGCGAAGCTCGCCTTGCGAAAGGAGCACAATTTGGAGAATATGGATCTGGAAGGCAGATGTGGAATTCCGCAAAACAGGATGTAAAGTGTAGACGGTACAGGTAAAATGTAACTCACATGAAAGTATATATTCTGCTTTTCGTTACAGGCAACTGCGACGGAGGAAGTACAAGTCTGCGCCAGCACAGCATGCTCTCTCGCCTGTCTAACGGGGCTACAACGAGGCTGATTGGTCGGATCGGAACACGTTTCACCCGTCCACTGCTTCCAGAAGCACGAGCGGGAACGCGATCTTCCAGGCGGTCACGCACGACACGGCGACCAGCCCTGGGAAGAATCTGGATCGTCGGATGAGGGCGTGGAACCAGGCATACCTTTGTGTTCGGTTGAAACGATGTAGTACGATAACCTACAGTCGGGAACGGTTCTTTCGATACACGCCTTGACGGAGTGCCAGACGAGTTCACTGTCAGACTGGTAGATACGGTTGAGCACGATGCTGTGGTCTTCAAAACGGTTATCTCTTCTCACCGTTCTAAACCATTATTTACCCGTCTGAAATCAGGACTAGCCGGTTTCCCACAGCCTTGTTTGTTCAGCATTGATATCTCCACATCTCAAATCCGTTATGATATTTTCTGAGCTAGCTGCTGCTAGATCGTTATCAGATATGTCAAGCATTGCTTTGGTTCTGACGATGAAGTTACGCTCGTCTTAGCTCGTTAGACGTCGAAGTTACTAGCGTGCTGGTCACGGGAAATCGAGGCAACGCAACGTGAAGTCGCTAGTTTTTCACAGTCACGCTTTGCAACTTGTCTTCAGAATCGACTTGCCTGAACACGTGTCTCCGTACAAATAACGTCTTTCAGCGAGGAACAAACTCCCATTTTGTGAAGCATACGTTTTCTAGATCTCGTGCATAAGGAGTAAGCAAAGACATCACGCGCCGCTCGGTCATGGCGCCGGCGAACGGCGAGCCGGCTCACGGACAGCACCAGCAAAATGGCACCGCTAAAAAAAGGGCTAAGAAAACGCATCAAGGATCAGGAAAGTTTTTTTGGTTAGCTCTGGCCGCGACAGTCGCTGTCGTGGCTGTAGCGGTGGCAGTATCGCGACCGGAATATGTCACGGCCGTTGCTGCGAAAAGCAGCGAGTTTTGTAACCAGGTGTTGCGACAATGGGGCGTGAAGCTTGCTGAGGAGGTTCCAGCAACCGGAGATTCTCCACAGCCTGTGGAGGCGGCGGCAATCTCGAGGAAACCGTCGGCGTCATCAGTTTCCGTTACATCTCAACCGGATTCTGGTTGCACGTGTCAGGTACGTACGTTACGTGTCAGGTACGTACGTTACGTGTCAGGTACGTACGTTACGTGTCAGATTTGCACCTCGCGTGTCAGGTACGCACGTCAAGCTCTTTATGCTCATCAAGTTTCTGATTTGCGTTTTACTGCCTAACTCCACATCCATGGTATTTTGCGATGGCATGCCTTCCCCTGCTGTTAACCTCTGCACCAACAGCCGCGTCTTTGCCTTGCCTCGGTAACTGTACCTTTTTGCAACTTATCTGCTGCCACGTGTCACTCGCAGGTGAAGCGGCTGCCAGGCATGGTGGACGACTGCTGCTGCGAGTACGAGACAGTGGATGAACCCAACCCAACTTTTCTGCTGCCACGTGTCACCTGTTTCTGCCACGTGTCACATGCAGGTGAAGCGGTTGTCAGGCGTGGTGGACGACTGCTGCTGCGAGTACGAGACAGTGGACGATCTGAACTCGCACGTGTTACAGCCCCTGCTGACCCAGCTCGTCAACACCACCTTCTTCAAGTACTTTAAGGTCGGTAAAACTCACCTCGGTTCAGTTCGGTACTGCAAGGTGCGCAGTAGTTCTAGAGGGGTTACAGAGCACGTGGGGTAGCATGCAGTGGATGAATTCAACTCGCACGTGCTACAGCCGCTGCTGACCCAGCTCGTCAACACCACCTTCTTCAATTACTTCAAGGTCGGTTCAATGCGGTGCTGTAAGGTACGTGGCGGTTCCAGATGGTTTGCTGAGCACACGACATGAGTAGCAGACAGTGGATGAACTCAGGTTCGTCTGTGGTGTGACTGTCCCTTCTGGCCCGATGACGGCATGTGCCACTCCAGGGATTGCTCTATAGGGGAGTGCAAGGACGACGAAGTCCCTGCCCCGTTACCCCATCATACCGCACTGTACCCCACCCCATCCCATCCCACCCCCCTCTCTCAGGTCCGGCTGTGGTGTGACTGTCCCTTCTGGCCGGACGACGGCATGTGCCACTCCAGGGATTGCTCTGTGGGAGAGTGCAAGGACCATGTGGTCCCTACCACTTACCACCCAGCCCCACCGCACTCCACCCCATTCCACCCAATCCTGTCTCTCCCCATCAGGTTCGTCTGTGGTGCAACTGTCCCTTCTGGCCAGACGATGGCATGTGCCACTCAAGGGACTGTTCTGTGGGGGAGTGCAAGGACGACGAGGTCCCCCCCGCCCTCCGCTGCCCCTCCCCGCCCGCACCCTCGCTGCTCCCTGCTGACGTGGACGAGCCACGCGACGCTGACCTGGACCCGAGTGCGGATGAGTCAGCATCGGCTGAGTCAGCGGCGGGGTCGGTGGATCGAACGGTGGATCGGAGCGCGTTCCAGGCGTGGGTGGAGGCGGATAACCCGTGGACGTCCGATGATGAGAGTGACACAGGTGAGCAGATATGATGTAATATGAAACAGATATAATGGTACAAGGGTGTTGCAATTGCTGGGGTGGTCCGGTGCGTTTCAGGCGTGGGTTGAGGCGGATAACCCGTGGACGTCTGATGATGAGAGTGACACAGGTATGGTGAAACATGTAGGCATGATGGTGAGTGTGATGGGATGCAGTCACTACAGAGTGGTTCAGGCGTGGGTTGAGGTGGATAACCCGTGGACGTCTGATGACGAGAGCGATACAGGTGAGCAGATATGATATGATACAGATATAATGGTACAAGGGCGTTACAGTTTTGGGGGTGCCCCGGTGCATTTCAGGCGTGGGTGGAGGCAGATAACACATGGACATCCGATGACGAGAGTGACACAGGTACAGTGAAACGGATTGGGTACGGAAATTGAGTTACCAGAACACGTCTTACCCCTGGGTGGATGGGGGATTGCTACACCATTGATCGTGGAGACGATTTTTGAGGCGCCTCAAAAGCCCTGGGTGGATGGTGATTGCTCCACCGTTCATCGTGGAGGCAGATAATACTGGGCGGCTGATGATGAGAGTGAGGCAGGGCAGGTATGGTGCGTCTGGCAGGCCATCTACCAGGAGAGCTGCTTCCAGGACGGCTCGACCAAAAGCCCTCCTCTCACATTTTCCTCCTTTCCCCGCATCCCTCTGCCTTACCTGCCACACACACAGCCTCCCAGGTGTATGTCAACTTAGCCCTGAACCCGGAACGGTACACAGGGTACGGGGGCGCATCTGGCAGGCCATCTACCAGGAGAGCTGCTTCTCATGCACTTCGTCCCTCCCCCCACACCCCACCCCTCCCCTCTTCTCACAGCCTCCCAGGTGTATGTGAATCTTGAACTCAATCCCGAAAGGTATACCGGCTATGGAGGGGACTCAGCGCGGCGCATATGGCAGGCCATCTACCAGGAGAGCTGCTTCCAGGGCGTCTGCTGTGTGTGAACCTCGTATCCTCCCTCCCCTCTCCCCCCACCTCACAGCCTCCCAGGTGTACGTGAACCTAGCCCTGAATCCTGAAAGGTATACCGGCTATGGGGGCGACTCGGCTCGCCGCATCTGGCAGGAGAGCTGCTTCCAGGACGGCACCAAGGCTGCTCTTCCTTCCCCACTCTCTCCCCTATACCCCCTCCCCACCGACGCTCCCTCAGCCTCCCAAGTGTATGTCAACCTGGCCTTGAATCCAGAGCGCTACACGGGGTACGGGGGCGACTCAGCGCGCAGCATCTGGCAGGCCATGTACCAGGAGAGCTGCTTCCAGGACGGCTGCTGTGTGTACACCTCGTATCCGCCCTCCGCTCTCCCCCCACCTCACAGCCTCCCAGGTGTACGTGAATCTGGCTCTCAATCCAGAGCGCTATACAGGCTATGGGGGGGACTCGGCGCGGCGCATATGGCAGGCCATGTACCAGGAGAGCTGCTTCCAGGACGGCTGCTGTGTGTAAACCTCGTATCCTCCCTCCTCTCTCCCCCCACCTCACAGCCTCCCAGGTCTACGTGAACCTAGCCCTGAACCCGGAACGCTACACGGGCTATGGGGGGGACTCAGCGCGGCGCATCTGGCAGGCCATGTACCAGGAGAGCTGCTTCCAGGACTGCTGCTGTGTGTACACCTCGTATCCGCCCTCCTCTCTCCCCCCACCGCACAGCCTCCCAGGTGTATGTGAACCTAGCCCTGAATCCTGAAAGGTATACCGGCTATGGGGGCGACTCGGCTCGCCGCATCTGGCAGGAGAGCTGCTTCCAGGACGGTACCAAGGCTGCTCTTCCGTCCCCACTGTCTCCCCTATACCCCCTCCCCACCGACGCTCCCTCAGCCTCCCAAGTGTACGTGAACCTAGCCCTGAACCCAGAGCGCTACACGGGGTACGGGGGCGATTCAGCGCGGCGCATCTGGCAGGCCATCTACCAGGAGAGCTGCTTCCAGGACGGGACGAAGGATGAATGCACGGAGAGGCGGGTGCTTTATCGGCTTATGTCCGGGCTGCACCAGGCTATATCAGTGCACGTGGCTGCTTCACAAATATGGGACTCGGCAGCAGGACAGGTGAGGGGGCTAGGGGCGTGGCATAGAACGGACCATGTAGAGTCGACCCACAAGGGATGAGTGCACGGAGAGGCGGGTGCTGTACCGGCTTATCTCCGGGCTGCACCAGGCGATATCAGTGCACGTGGCTGCTTTTCCCAGATCTGGGACTCTTCAGCTGGACAGGTGAGGGTTTCAAGTAGAGCGGTGGGTCCATATAGAATAGACACACCAAAGACGAGTGCAGTGAGAGGCGGGTGCTGTACCGACTGATCTCCGGGCTGCACCAGGCGATATCAGTGCACGTGCCTGCGTCACAAATATGGGATGCTGCAGCCAGGCAGGTGAGAAGGCGAAGGGGAGTTGGTGAGGTCGAAGGTTGGGACTTGTCCTTTGGTAGAGTCTAATCATCCCTGGGAAGAATGGGATTTGGCAACGGGGTGTGGTGAGATGTTGACCGAGCAGAACATCTTACCACCGGTCCTACTTGCTGAGATGTCGCCAAGATCCCTTTTTTGCTCTCTGTCTCATTCCCCTTCCCCTGCTCCCGTTCCTATTCCCAACCCCGTTTCCCCCCCACTTCCTCCCTTCTCCCATCATACGCCAGTGGGGCCCCAACATCACCACCTTCCATTTCCCCGTCTCCCTCACTCGTGTTTCCCCTCTCTCCCGCACCATACAGTGGGGCCCCAACATCACCATCTTCCACCACCGCGTCTCCAAGGTCCCTTCCAGCTCTCCTCCTCATTCCCCTCTCCCTGCTCTCTCCCCTCTCCCCTCTCCCCACTCCCCTCTCCCCTCTCCCCTCTCCCCACTCCCCTCTCCCCTCTCCCCTCTCCCCTCTCCCCTCCTTTCCCCTCTCCCCTCTCCCCTGCCCCTCCATTCACCAGTGGGGCCCCAACATCACCATCTTCCATCACCGCGTGGCCAAGTTCCCTGAGCGCCTCGCCAACCTCTACTTCACATTTCTCTTTGTGCTGCGAGCTGCCACCAAGGTGAGCGCACTCTAGCATTGGCATTTACTGACTGTTGTCTGGTAAACGAGCGCCTGGCCAACCTCTACTTCACATTTCTCTTTGTGCTGCGAGCTGCCACCAAGGTGAGCGCACTCTTTGCGTCTGTTTGAGCCGATTCTCAATATTTGCTGGACATTTCCCCGTAAATGACATATTATTGGAAACAAGCGCGCTTCTCATCTGTGTATCTGGCAACATTGCTGCAGCACAACCTATTGGTAAATACTCTCTATTTAGCACTATTCATTTTTGTAACACACTACTTACTTACCCTTTATCCCTTCTCGCGCTGAGAACAGGCAGCGGATTTCTTGTCACGGGCGTCGTACAACACAGGGAACCCTTTAGAGGATACACAGACGGCAGCGCTGGTGCAGCAGGTGGTGCGAAATCAGAGGCTGCAGGCGGCTTGCCCTCTGCCGTTTGACGAGGCGAGGATGTGGCGAGGGGATGAAGGGCCTCAGCTCAAGCAGACGCTGCAGGGGCACTTCAGAAATATAAGGTGGGTGTGTTTGAGAGGCATCAGGTGGTGGCATGGTGCAGAGTGACTGGCTGCAGGCGGCTTGCCCGTTGCCGTTTGACGAGGCGAGGATGTGGCGAGGGGATGAGGGGCCTCAGCTCAAGCAGACGCTGCAGGGGCACTTCAGGGAATATCAGGTGCGTGTTGAATGGGCTGTGTAGGGTGCAGGAGCGGCCGCCTGTGGGGCAAGCTGTTCCCACCACTCTCCATTTCTCTCCACCTCTTCCCACTACCCCAGCCTGATCATGGACTGTGTTGGGTGTGAGCGCTGCTGCCTGTGGGGCAAGCTGGAGATTCTCGGGCTCGCCACAGTTCTTAAGATCCTCTTCTCAACCACTCTCTATTGCTCTCTACCACTCCCCACCCCTTCCCACCGCAGCCTTATCATGGACTGTGTGGGGTGCGAGCGCTGCCGCCTGTGGGGTAAGCTGGAGATTCTTGGCCTCGCCACGGCCCTCAAGATCCTCTTCTCTGTTGACGGCAACGGTCACGGGAATGGCAACGGTGGCAACGGTAATGGCAATGGGAATGGCAATGGTGGCAAAGAACATGGGTATGTGCAGGGGCATGGAGCGGAGCAGTTGAGTCTGCAGCGCAATGAGGTGGTGGCTCTGTTCAACACGCTCTGGCGCTTCTCCCATGCGCTCAAGACCACTGCTGAGCTCGTCACCCTCCTGGAGATGAACCCTCCCCCGGATGTACCTGCGATGGGAGCAACACCGGTAGCGACTCTGTCTGGTGGTGCTGGTAGTGGTGGTGGTGGTGGTGGTGGTGGCAGTGGGAGTGGTGTGGGTGGTGCTGCTGACACAGTGCCGCTGCAAAAGGTGTGGGAGAGAAGCCAAGATAAGGAGAATTATGACTATCAAGCGAGTGCTGCACAGTAGTGCAGCTGACACAGTGCTGACACTGTACAGAAGTGGTATGTAGAAACCAAATGTGGACAAAATAATGCTGTAATATGTTAGTGGAGATGCCAGCAAGGTGTGTGTTGTACACCACTATTTCATAGCGCTACGTTTGTGCTTCAAATTCTTGTCACTGCTACCGTATTCCCTAGTGTGTTGATTCGTCCTCATTTTCAATACAGCTGAGAGATTGTTTGTTCGACCTTGCGCGTATCACTGTAGTGCATGTAACACTTCACGTTCTACCGAAAATCGTCTTGCATGCATGAGTGCGTGGTTTCGCTTTCCCCCCCGCACGAAGCCATGGTGCCAAAGTCCGTAGGTTGTACACGGTATTCTGTGTCGGAGTACGTTATCCTACGTTTCAGAGCGGTGGTTATCCGAACTTCTGGGGTCACGCTCTGGATAGATATACCACGCCGCCATGCATGTATCACCTCACCATCGCTCTCTTGGGAACTCCGCAAACACACACAGGCGCTTCACCAGTGAGTATTTGCAAGCCAAGCCTTCTGTTGTTGGTGCATGGCTGGCTAAGCTCCCTGGTTTATTCTCGAGGCCTTTCTTGATATGACCGTTGATCCTTCAACCAGAATAGCGTTGCGAGGACATTCAGTAGCGAAATTGGTTATGTTTTAAACCTCGAACCTGAATCAAGCTACGTTTTAGGATAGCGTTTCTCTCGTGGGTTTTCAATAAATCCTTCACGCTGCTTCTCGATATGATCGTTAATTCGTGAACCAGAGTACCGTCGCGAGAACATTCAGTTTTAGGATTCACGATATCGCCTAGCTCGTGGGTTTCCATTCGATCCTTCACAAAAGTGCTGTCCCGTCCAACACCGGAGCGATGAGTCATATTCACGGGAACGGGTCGAAGCTGTTTAACGATCCCATTCACGGCCACATAACTGTCGACAAGGTACGGAAAAACTCTTGTTTAGAGAATGGCTCGAAGCTGTTTAACGATCCCATTCACGACCATATAACGGTCGACGGGTACGATAATGCTGCTGAGTCGACTTGAACGGTGGAATTTCGCCTGGTTGGCGAGGTAAGTGATTCAGCGCCAATGACGTGGAACAGTTTTTTCGTTTGAGTCGACTCAGTTGTCACCGTTTATGGCCACGTTACCGTTGACAAGGTACGATACTTGCAACCGGGAAGAAAGTATGGAAATTCAGGGAGAGGAATCATTTAAGCTCACAAAATGCAGGAGTCAGCGCCAACGATGGGGACTGGGCTTTGTGTTGTCACATCACTCAGTTGTGAATTTCGCACTATTCATGGTCACAATGCCGTTGACAAGGGACGATACCTGTAGCCGTTAACGGTTTTTGGTCCAGTCTCGTTCCTTCCTGCCGTTCACCAAAACAGTTTTCCCTTCTCCCGTCCAATTTCACCCCTGCTCACTCCTCTCCATCTCTCTCCATTCCTCTCCATCCCCCTTTACCCGTTTCAACCCTCCCTCAATCCCATCCACAGACCAGCCTAAGCATCATTGACACGTGCGAGTTTCAGCGGCTAAGGTACATCCGCCAGCTAGGCGTCTGCCACTACGTGTACCCATCAGCCAATCACACGCGGCTAGAACATTCCATAGGGACCTCCCATCTGGCCAATCAGGTGGTGGAATCGCTGAGGCGGCAGCAGCCCGAGCTGGAAATCAATGATGATGACGTCATGGCGGTTACTCTGGCCGGGCTGTGCCATGACATGGGGCATGGGTGCTTCAGCCACATGCTCGATAACGCCATCTTCTCCCACTTCTGCCCTGGATCCGACTGGTATGTGCGTGCTGCAGAGTTGATTTTACCTGCATGATTCCACTTGCAAGGGCACTATGTAAACACATTTGCATCTCGATAGACATCTATTGTGCTTTTCAAACACCTCGGAACCGCATGGAACGATGTGGAATCATTTATCTCAGGCATCACGAGAGGCGGTCAGCAGAGCTGGTGGATCGAGTGGTTGGTAACAACATCATTGGCATTGACCCGTTTCCCTGCACGAGCAACGAGCACTCACTCACCGAACCCTATGTACCCCTGCACGCATCCCCCACCACAGATCGCTACCACGTGCTTGTGTCGTGGCATCTGTGTGTTTCAGGCACCATGAGAAACGGTCAGTGGATCTGGTGGAGCGAATGGTTGAAACCAACAACTAAAACGTCGACCCCTGTCTCTGCACGAGCACTCACTTACCTACCCGTATTCCATCCGTGCCCCTACCCGTACACTAACCCTATCCCAACCTCCCTCCCATGCACCACTCGAGCTATCAGGCACCATGAGAAACGGTCAGTGGATCTGGTGGAGCGAATGGTTGACAACAACAACATTGACATTGACCGAGATACTGTTGCCACTATCCAGGTGAGAGTGAGAGCATGAGGGTGAGATAGCACTGAAAGGGAGAGGGAGGAGGTACATGAGAGGCGGTCAGTGGAGGTGGTGGAGCGAGTGATTGAAAACAACAACATTGACATTGACCCTGATACTGTTGCCACTATCCACGTGAGAGAGCATTGAAGGGGAGAGAGTAATAAAGGTGAGAGGATGGAGGTAGAGGAGTGGGCATGCATTCCCTGAGAATACACCTGGCAACAACAACAACATTGAAATTGACCCTGATATTGTTGCCACCATTAAGGTGAGATAGGGGGCATGAGGGTGAGAGAATGAGGGTAGCAGCATGAGGATGAAAGGATGGATGAGGGAGCATTGAAGAGGTGACCTCCATCAGCACCTCTGATTTGCATGATTATCTAAAATTAATGCGATTTAGAGGTGTTAAATATCTCATATGATCATATCCCGTTTCTCATTGCCAACATTCTTCCACGGAGTCGAGTCATGATTTTTGAGGCGCCTAAAAAATCGAGGAAAAATTCAATCTAGTTTCGAATAGAAAACATCCATGGACCATGGGTGACATTCATGTCTCACATATTGTCATGTGTCTCACTGCTGACATTCGTCCACATCGTTTTCATCCCTCTTTCTGCTCATTCAGTCCGCGCCTACCCATCAACCTCTTTTGTATTTTCTTACCCTCACCCCCCAGTTCTGTCTTGCTGTCCCTCTCTCTGTGCCGCCCCCCTCTTTCACCCCCTCAGAGTCTCATTCTACCAGACAAGTCAAAGAGGGGGAGAAGGGTAGGTAAATGGTGTGGAGGTGGGGGTGGAGGATGGGTGGTAAGGATGGGTAGGCTTTTGCTGGAGTGTTTGCATCACTACCAGGCGAATGAATTTCTGTGGTAAGGAGCACTATGGCAAGCGATTATTCAGCCTGAAGGCCTTAATTTTATTATCTCCTGCTCGAGGTATTTGCAGCAGTACAGTGGGAAGAAGTTGCGTTGCTGGGAGGCATGGCGCCAGCTAGTAGTGTAAGAAAGCACTGCGCCCTTTTGTGTGTGCGCGTGTGTGTGCGCGCGCGCGTGTGTGCGTGTGCGCGTGTGTGTGTGTGTGCGCGTGCGCGTGGGTGTGCGAGTGCGCGTGTGTGTGCGTGTGCGCGTGTGTGTGCGCGTGTATGTGCGCGCGCGCGTGTGTGCGTGTGCGGCGCGTGTGTGTGCGTGTGTGTGTGCGTCTGCGTGCTCGTGTGTAGTGGGACTGTGGTGGGAAGGAGCCTCATTGTCCTACGAGACAGGATACTGTGGTGTGGCCAACGAGTTGCTAACTAGGCTCCTGAATGTCTCCCTCCTTCCGTTCGCATGTGGATTGCATGAGTGCAGGACTACACAGGGAAGGAGTTTCTATGGGACATTGTAGCCAACGCGCTGTGAGGCGCCTGACAGACAGTATCCCTCCTCTCCTCCCCTGTGTGCTTGTAATGAGTGCAGGACTACACAGGGAAGGAGTTTCTATGGGACATTGTAGCCAACGCGCTGTGAGGCGCCTGACAGACAGTATCCCTCCTCTCCTCCCCTGTGTGCTTGTAATGAGTGCAGGACTACACAGGGAAGGAGTTTCTGTGGGACATTGTAGCCAACGCGCTGTGAGGCGCCTGACAGACAGTATCCCTCCTCTCCTCCCCTGTGTGCTTGTAATGAGTGCAGGACTACACAGGGAAGGAGTTTCTATGGGACATTGTAGCCAACGCGCTGTGAGGCGCCTGACAGACAGTATCCCTCCTCTCCTCCCCTGTGTGCTTGTAATGAGTGCAGGACTACACAGGGAAGGAGTTTCTATGGGACATTGTGGCCAATGCACGCACGGGAATAGACGTGGACAAGTGAGTAACTCCGTGTCCTCTTCAGACCTTCATCAGTGCATTGCGTTTGGCCTTAGTAGTTTACAGGGAGTTTCTATGGGACATTCTAGCCAATGCACGCACGGGAATAGACGTGGACAAGTGAGTGTGCGTGCTGTCTGGCCCTTCCTCAGTGCATTCCGTTTACCTTCATCTTGTTGGTTCAAAAGCTTCTCTCACTGTGTGTGTTGTGTGGTGTGGGGTCCGGATTTCCTCGCGCGCACTGTGGCCTGCAGGTTTGACTATCTGGCTCGTGACAGCTACTTCTGCAACGTCAACTCGTGCTTCGATCACAAGAGGTGAGGAGGGTGTGGTGGGGAAGTTGAGGTGAGGAGGGCGAGCATAAGGAAGAGCGTGGTGCAGTCTCTAGTGCCACCATTTGTCGCACCATCTGGCTCGTGACAGCTACTTCTGCAACATCAAGTCGTGCTTCGACCACGAGAGGTGAGGACGGGGAGGTGGGGATGAGGGATGAGGATGGGGAGTTGAGAGGGTGAGTGAGTAAAAGGAAGGATGAGACGTGAGAGGGTGAGGGCGTTGAGAGCCACGTGATAACAAGTTTGTTCTGAGACGTCTTAAAACAACCTTGTTATCATGGGATGTGAGAGTAGTATAGATGATAGTGCAGGTGATAGTGCAGGTGATAGTACAGGTGATAGTACAGATGATAGTACAGGTGATAGTACAGATGATAGTGCAGATGATAGTACAGATGATAGTACAGATGATAGTACAGATGATAGTACAGATGATAGTACAGATGATAGTACAGATGATAGTACAGATGATAGTACAGATGATAGTACAGATGATAGTACAGATGATAGCACAGATGATAGTACAGATGATAGTACAGATGATAGTGCAGATGATAGTGCAGATGATAGTACAGATGATAGTACAGATGATAGTACAGATGATAGTACAGATGATAGTACAGATGATAGTACAGATGATAGTACAGATGATAGTACAGATGATAGTACAGATGATAGTACAGATGATAGTACAGATGATACTACCAAGCGATGTGAGATCCTTTCTCTTGAACCTTCTCCCTGCCCCCATCGCTCGTCCCCCCTGTTGCCCGACTGTTTTTCTTCACAGAATAATCCAGTTGCTGCAAGTCAAAGACGACGAGATCTGCTTCAAGTACAGCGAGTGTGAGTGAGGCCCTCTCTTGCCCTTCCTCCCTTCCCTGACCCCTCTTTCCCTCCCCCCCTCCCTTCCCGCCCTTGGCTGAAGGTGATAGACGACGAGATCTGCTTCAAGTACAGCGAGTGTGAGTGAGGCCCTAGTTTATCCTTTCTTGCTCCTCTCTTGCCCTCTCTTGCTCCTCTCGTATCCTCTTGCCCCCTTTTCGCCTCTCTTACCCTCTTTTGTAAAAAGGTGCGCTTCGTGCTCCGGTGTTTCTCCTCTACTACCAACCACTGATCACCATTCTTTCCTCTCTCAGTCTCGACTTCCTCCTTCCTTTGTCTTCATCATCGCCACCCCCCCTCCCCCCCCCCCCCCCCCCCCCCCGCCCCCCCGGGGCAGTGGAGACGGTGAATGAGATGTATTGGTTGCGGTTCGAGACGCAATTGGCCCCTCAATGCTCCTCAAAGAGCTGCTTTCTGCCTTCCCCTCCCCTCGCTCTCCCCCTCCCCTCTCCCCCTGGCAGTGGGCACAGTGAACAACCTGTTTGGCTGCGGGCTGACATGTATCGCAACGTGTACATGCACAAGACAGTCAAGATGCGTTGGGAGGGACTCTGATCGCACAAGACAGTCAAGGCAGTCGAAGCCATGATCCTCGAGCCCATCACCCACGCCAACCACGTGTTCTTCTTCTCCCCTCACCTCCCACCTCCATCCTCCTGCCTCCCTCCTCCCTCCTCCCCTCTGTCCCCTCCCTCCTCTTCACTCCTCCCCACTCCCCTCCTTCCCCCGGCCCCTTCCCCCCCCTCCCCCTTCCCGCCCTCCCCCTTCCCCCCCCCTCCCCCCTCCCCAACCAACAGTGGGGACGGTGAATGATATGTTTTTACAGCGGACCAAGATGTATCAAAACGTGTACACGCACAAGACAGTCAAGGCCGTGGAGCACATGGTGCTAGAGGCGCTCATCCACGCCAACCACAAGTTCCGATTCGGGGAAATTGCGGAATCTAAAGATCTCGACAGATTCTGCGAGCTGGACGATACGATTCTGAGGGACATTGTGCGGTCTCGAAACCCCAGCTTGAAGAAATCGCAGGAGATTTTGAAGCAGATTGAGAGACGGCAGCTGTACCAGGTGGGTTTCAGGACCAGACGGTATGCGATTTAAAGTATGAAACGGACATGCGAGGGGTGCATGCGAGGGGTGCATGCGAGGGGTGCATGCGAGGGGTGCATGCGAGGGGTGCATGCGAGGGGGGTTGCATGCAAGGTTGTGGTGCTGGTGGATTCTCTGCACCACTCTGCACCACTCTGAGCACTCTTTTTTTCTTCTCTTAACACCCACTTCCCCCATCTCTCCTCCCCGCACCCCTCCCCCCGGCCCGGCAGTACATGGTGCCGGTGGACGCTCTGCACCACTCTGCACCACTTCAAGCAGCTCACAGTGGCCGAGCTGCTCCTTCCACTCTGTCTTCTCGCGTCTTACCCTCCTTCCCTCTTCCCCTCCATCCCTCAAACTCCCCCCCCCCCACCCCACCAACCCCCCCAGTACATGAACGAGTTTGTGGTGCCGGTGGACGCTCTTCACCACTTCAAGCAGCTCACAGTGGCCGAGGTGCAGAAGCTGCGCCTTGCATTCTGTCTTCTCCCACCTTACCTCTCTTCCTCCCCCCCGCATTCTCCTCTCCACCCCCCCCGGCCGGCAGTACATAAACGAGTTTGTGGTGCCGGTGGAAGCGCTGCCGCACTTCAGGAAGCTCACAGTGGCCGAGCTGCTGCGGCATGTGAGTGTGTTTGGGCACGGGTTAGTGTGTGTTCCGCACACTGTGTGCGTGTGAATGTGTGAGTGCAGAGAGTACTAGGCCTGTGAGTTTGTGGTGGTGCCAGTGGATGCGCTGCAGCACTTCAGGAAGCTCACAGTGGATGAACTGCTGCGGCATGTGAGTGTGGGAGGGCATGTAGAGAGGAATGGTTGTGGTGACTGCATGTGCAATGGGCCAGCTCGATGCGGTGCACCACTTCAAGAAGCTTTCAGTGAATGAGCTGCTCAGGCATGTGAGTGTGTGTGTATGAGGTGAGTGAGTGAGGGAGCATGGCGATCAAGTGATGGTAGCCAGCTTTTTCACCATACCATACACCCATACACCCATATACCCATACACCCATACACCCATATACCCATATACCCATATACCCATATCCCCATATCCCCATATACCCATATACCCATATCCCCATATCCCCATATCCCCATATACCTGTTTGCCATGCAATTGTTGCAGGGAACAGGGTCATACCTGAGGGAGCATGGTGACCAAGTGATTGTGGACAATATCAAGATCGACTATGGGCAGGACATAAACAACCCTCTTGACAAGTGAGTCACAGCAATAAACATCAAGAATTGAGTAGTGGTATCAACTTTGGGCATATTTTAAGTACACACCCAAAAGTTGGCTCAATAGTTGAATTGTGGTATCAACTCTGGGCAACCCTCTCAAAAACTGAGTGCCATACTACTCTGCCCTATCTCATCCATTCACGTCTTCCCTTTCTCTCCCATCCACCCCCACCTGTTTTACGTCATGTGTGCAAACAAACCATGGCTACAACAACCACGCTGCTACAATGACCACATTGGAATGATGGCCGTTTTGCTACAACTACCACCACGGGGGGTGTTGCTATAATCATTTCGCGTGCCGGACTCGTGTGATCCACCACACCACATGGCTTCAATAATCTTGTTGCTACAACGACTGCATGGGGTGTGAATTTCTCCTGTGATGCACCCATGGGGTGTACTTGGTCTTCAGGGCCCACTTCTTCGATGTGAGTTGTCTGAGCTATGGTTTCAGGCATGTCATGATGTCATGTCGTCCACATGCACATGCATGAGACCATAACCACTGTGATGTCACGCTGACGTTACACATCACGCACACACGCACATGTCTGGCATCCATCATGTCATACATACACGTGTCCCACATGCTTGCATCGCACTGGCCCTTCCTTTCCAAGCACATGTGAACTCTTGAATTCCCTTCATGTGTTCATTCAGGTCTCATACACCAAGCACTCCTGTCTACCATTCATGCCCATATTTTTCTGCTATGCCTACCTTGTTATTGTATTGTGCAAATGCATACTCAGGAACGCCCGTACAAGTTTCCCATCTCATGCAATCAGATTAGTACAATGATGCCACAGAATTACAAGGACCTGACCGTTAGAGTGTACATCAAGACAAGAGATCAGCGCCTCGTAAGCTCATTCATTGTCCTTTTTTCACATTGCACAACCTACCTGCTGTCGCTGTTTGCAAGTTGGTTTCGCTGTTCTTGTTTATTGTTTAATTGCTTCTCTTCCCTTTTCTTGTTTTCCAGGAGGACGAGGTGAAGGAGGCGTTTGTCAATTACCAGATGCAGACATTCGGTCGCGAAGTCATGCGCACACCAAGCCGTAAGAGAATGCGCAGACACCACGAAAATGGTGGAGGGATAACCAATGGGGGTGGAACTGGAACGGAGCTCACGGGGGATGATGATGATGTGGTCTCTTCACAAACTGCAAGGAAGCTGATGTGATGTGGCATGGTGTTTGAACCCTGATGATTGTCAAGCTTCAGCATTGTTAGCCCCCTCTCAGGTGTTGTCTCAGTTTCCTCGTTTCATTTCAGGACGCTGCCACAACAATACACAACAACAGCGTGATGGCCGTATGTTATTCCCTATATTTGCAAGACTTTTGAACGAACTTGCGCAAGTATCAAGGAGGACAACTAGAAGGGACATGAAGCTGCACTCCTTCTAGCAGATTAGTACGGTAATGTTTGGATCGAACCATCCGTGTTTGGTTCAACATGAAGAATATCGTTGGCACTTCCAACAGGAGGCAATCGAATATCGTGTTTGATCTGAATATTGAGCACACCAGTTTGTTCCACTCAAGCCAACTAGAAGGGACATGAAGCTCCACTCGTTCTAGCAGATGTTTGGACAGAACCAGCCGAGTTTGGTTAGACAAGAATATCGTTGGCACTTCCAAAAGGTGGCTATTGAATATCGTGTTAATCTGAAGTAGGAGCGTACAAAATTGTTCCACTCAAGCCGACCTTCTAAAAGGGCTGTACATGAAACTCAAAATATATTATCTTGCATTTAACGGGGGGACACGGTGATCTGGTCAGCGGGCACAATCAGGTCACCCTTCCTGTACTCGGACCAGGCAGCCACGGGCCAGGTAGCACCACGGCCGAGCAGGCTCAGAGCGAGGGGAACATCGATGATGATCTCCTTCTCGGTAGGCTTGGCTCCCTCCTTGGTCTTGATCAGGTAAGAGCGGCCGACCCACCCGATCCAGCCAGCAATGTACAGGAAAACGATGCCGGGGGACACGAACTCGCCCGCGTGCCTGAAGTCACCATCGACGATCAGGTGGGGAAGACCGTCGGTGCCGCACAGCAGGCCGGACTTGCCGTAGAAAGAGAACCGGCGCTCGGTCCTCTCAATGGTGGCGTTGAGAGCCAGAGCGGGAGCAGAGCCGTCCTTGTAGAGCTTGAGGCGGTTCTTCAGCTTCTTGATGGAGTTCTTCTGGCGCTTAGCGAAGGCCTTGGAGTCCTTGCAGGGGGTAAGGCCAGCGACATCGGCGAGTGCGACCTCGGGAACGGCCAAGGCACCGGTGCTGACGATGGCAGCAAGGGCGAGGGCAGAGGCGATCTTGCCAGCCTGCTCGGTAACGTTCTCCTCCTTCTTCTCCGCGGAGCAGACGGTCTTGGCAGACACCTGCTTCACGAAGCACGACGCCTTGGTGGTGGAGAAAGACGCCTTGGAGGACAGGTTCTTGGGTGCAACAAGGGGAGCACCCAGGCCAACAGCAGCCATGGTGACGGCGGCCATTTTTCCTCTGTAGTTTGGTTACTGGAAGAGGAAGTCTGGCTGCTGAGTCCGGTCTGGAAGGAGATCGCTGCTTGCGGAGAGGAAAGCAAACCTCAGAGTCTAAAACTGGATGTGAGGTCTCGCTGCTGCAGGTACACCGCTTGGTGGGATTTTCCAGGAGTTCGGGGAAACCCAGCATCGAGCAGCACAAGAATCCCGACAGGTGGCGCCGTTCAATCAGAATTTCGCACACTGGGTCCGTCAACCAATCGGTGAGCTCCAACCCGATAAGGCAGACCGATTTTGTGACCTTCAGGGTATTCTGATCCACGTGGAATCGAATGAACGTTGGCGAAGAGTTCGTTATCAGCCCGCATCGTGGCATCTCGTCATAATCGGGGAAAAAGCGTCGCCAATATCTAAATTCGCTCATCCAATCGCTGTAGTGTGGCAAATCATTACACAAAACCTTACTCCCACATCTCCGCATTATATATAGATATATAAGAGTACATCACACTACGTAATAGCACAATTGCTTCCAAATACTCCAATCAATAAGTCATTTGCTCTCAATCCACACTTTATGCTAACCTATATGGAATATTGCTGATCAGCCAAATCAGTGTACCAGGATCAATTCACATTCCATGTATCGATTCCTCCAATACATCACAGCAATAAATTGCAGTTGACTCATAGTGGTCACAAGGGCCTTCAGATTTATCAAATGCCTAATCCTCTCAAAGTCAACCACCACACCCATACCGCAATCAGTTTTGTTCACCATTCAGCCCTCCTTACAAGAGAAGCTTTGCCCCAAACTAAGGCTCCCTAAATAAAGCACCAGCTCAGTTGGTAGTAGCTACTCCCAGCCCAGATTCCTTTCCATGCCCCTTACATATCCATCCATCCACGCCCAAGGTACAAAATCCTTGTCAAAACAGCTGGTCTCTGTAATTATGCAAGTTGGTTGCTGTGCTGGTGGCCATGCAAGAACGGCTGCTTGGACATGCAAGCAACGGTCTACTCTCTAGCATTGCACTTTGTCGATCGAAAGGGCTTGATTGGTTGGTGCACACGGATAGAGACCGAGAGAGAGAGAGAGAGAGAGAGAGAGAGAGAGAGAGAGAGAGAGAGAGAGAGAGAGAGAGAGAGAGAGAGAGAGAGAGAGAGAGAGAGAGAGAGAGAGAGAGAGAGAGACAATGATAAGAGATGGATGATTGTAAGTGGAAGCGAAAAGCCGCACGCTTGAAGGGCTTTGAAGCTAAAGAACGGATGCCGAGAATGGGCGAGACAGGGGCCTCCTCCGAAAAGCTGCTGATAGGGGTCCCCCCTGACCAGGTGCTAGGGGTCCCTGTCAAGGCGTGCGAGATCGTACACCTGCCGAATGTTGCCCGATGCTGCAGGGCCAGGGCGAGTCGGGCGGGGAGGGGGATAGGGGCAGGGCGATTTGGTTATTTGTTACAACTGATAAGGCTGTCTCTGACCCAGGTGCAACCCTAAACCCTGTCAAGGCGTGCGAGATCGTACACCTGCCGAATGTTCCCCGATGCTGCAGCAGCCAGGGCGAGTCAGGCGGGGAGGGGGGATAAAGGCAGGGTGACTTGGAATGCAACATCTGTCTTTTGAAATGTCTCCAGATATGTGTGCACGGGGTGCGTGGGAGGTGCGGGGTGGAGGGTGGTGGGGAGGGGGTGGGGGGGGGTGATGAGGAAAACGGTCGAGGAAAGCGGGCTCGATGATGGGAGTGTAGTGTGGATGAAGTGTGAGTGTAGCGCGGATGGGAAACCAAGAAAAACGGTACACAAATGGAATTGAAATTTGAGATAAAGCAGGTAAACAGGATGGGTATGACAAAAAAGGTGGAAGGAGGTAAGGGAAGGAGGAAGGGAGCGACTAAGCGATTAACTGAGGAGCCACTCCTTGAAGTGTGCCTGGGTGACGTTCGTGAGGCATTGCTAGGGAGGAGGCATTCTCAAAGGAGAGGCATAATTACAGAAGAAAATGTAAAACCTCAGGAGGCAAACATGCAGGAAAGAGGGACTGACTGAGGAGCCACCCTTTGAAGTGTGCCTGGATGACGTTTGTCAGGCACTCTTAGGGAATGAGGCCTGAGTAATATTTAAGAGATTATGCAAGGGAGGAGGCACTGACTGAGGAGCCACTCCTTGAAGTGTGCCTGGATGACGTTCGTGAGCTCCCTCTTCCGCCCCTCGTCCAGCACCGCTGTCTTGAGCGTCTGCCTCAGACTCTCCACCGTCTTGGTCTGGAGAGCACGGGATGGGGGGGGATGTGTGGGGGGGTTGGTGGAAGAGAGGAGAGAGGGCGTGCGTGTGGTATAGTGGTGAGCAAAGAGGGACCATTTGGCTGATCAGAGCGCTCTTCCGCCCCTCGTCCAGCACTGCTGTCTTGAGCGTCTGCCTCAGACTCTCCACCGTCTTGGTCTATCAAGCACAGGATGGAAGCAAAGGAAGGGGGAGATTGGGAAAGAGAGATGTGGAAACATGATGGTCATTAAGCTTCGTTGGAATCTTCCCCATCGTCCAGCACCGCTGTCTTGAGCGTCTGCCTCAGACTCTCCACCCTCTTAATCTGTCACATGGGAAAGGATGGGAAAGGAGGTGAGCAAAGGGGTGCAGAGGGGAGCAAAGTGAGGCAAACAGAAAGACAGGTGATTGGTTCATCAAAAGCCCCTCTCCCCCTGCCTTTAAGAGCAAAGAGTGGCATACCTTGTGCTGCAGGCTGCAGGGCATTCGAGGGCAATGAGTAACGCACCTTGTGCTGCAGGCTGCAGGGCATTCGAGGGCAATGAGTAACGCACCTTGTGGGCAGAGTAAAGGGGTTAGCCCGTGTGGCCTGCTGCAGCAGCGGACTGCTGTGGTGATGAGTTATGTACCTTGTGCTGAAGAGTATTCAACAGCCATGAGAACCTTGTGCTGCAGCGCAATGAGGTACGTCTTGGGCAGAGCAAACGGGTTGGCCCGTGTGGCCTGCTGCAGTGGTGAGACGTGTCCTTATGCAAGAGCAATGACTCAACAACACACCTTGTGCTGCAGAGCGATGAGGTACGTCTTGGGCAGGGCAAACGGGTTGGCCCGTGTGGCCTGCTGCAGCAGTAAGTACTGTACCAGTACCTAAACACAAAGGGCACCCAGCCACACACCTTGTGCTGCAGCGCGATGAGATACGTCTTGGGGAGAGCAAACGGGTTGGCCCGCGTGGCTTGCTGCAGCAGCGGACTGGCACCCCCTCCTCCGCCTGGCTGCTCCTGCTGCGTCCGAAACGGAACCTGATGCGTTGGGAGAAGGGCGGAGAGGGTGTGAGAGCTTTCATTTTCAAGGGTGTGCAGACACGAGTATCCTGTTCAGCCTCTCCTGCTGCGTTTGAAACGGCACCTGATGTTCAGAAAGCGGAGTAGCATTCCACAAATCGCTGAACAGACAAGGAGGGGACGGAGGGCGAGCGGTTGGTGACTGCACACAGGGGGGAAAGACTCACAAGTCACTTTGAGCAATCAAGGGAAGCAGCTCACCACAAACGGCACAAACTTCTCAGGAGGCATCAGAATCGCCGTATGCGGCATGAAGAGCACAGAGAGAGTGCCGACAAGCGATGAATGGGAGGAAGAACAGGAGATTGCACACAAGAGAAAGCTACAAGACTCACCACAAACGGCACAAACTTCTCAGGAGGCATCAGAATCGCCGAATCAAGCGCCGCCGCCGCCGCCGCCCCCTCCTTCGCTCCCTCCCCTTCCGCTCCTCCCGCCCCACCACCCGCACCAGCCGAACCACCAGCACCACTGACGCCACCAGCAGCAGTGCCAGCACCGGCAGCACCAGCGGCAGCAGCAGCGTCTAGCGATCCCAGCGCTAACGGCAGGTCCCATTTGTTAACAGCCGGGTCCACCCCGACCTTTGCGAGGTGGTAATCGAGGCGGGGGTAGAAGGTGTTGTAAGGGGCGATCTGAAGCGAGTGGTTGTCTCCGAGAATGACGGGGCGGGAGTTGCAGCCGAGGTAGAACACGCACTCGCGGCAGTTGGCTATGCGGATGCGAGCGCAGGGGGCGATGAGGGTTAATCGCTCACAGGCTTCGACCCGCACCACCTGGAGAAGAGAGGGAAGGAGTGAGGAGGGGGGGAAAGGGAGGGAAGGAAGGAGGGAGGGAGGGAGGGAGGGAGGGAGGGAGGGAGGGAGGGAGGGAGGGAGGGAGGGAGGGAGGGAGGGAGGGAGGGAGGGAGGGAGGGAGGGAGGGAGGGAGGGAGGGAGGCAGGCAGGCAGGCAGGCAGGCAGGCAGGGAGGCAGGGAGGGAGGGGTTGAAGGTGTTGTAAGGGGCGATCTGCAGCGAGGTGTTGTCTCCGAGAATGACGGGGCGGGAGTTGCAGCCGAGGTAGAACACGCACTCGCGGCAGTTGGCTATGCGGATGCGAGCGCAGGGGGCGATGAGGGTTAATCGCTCACAGGCTTCGACCCGCACCACCTGGAGAAGAGAGGGAAGGAGTGAGGAGGGGGGGAAAGGGAGGGAAGGAAGGAGGGAGGGAGGGAGGGAGGGAGGGAGGGAGGGAGGGAGTGAGGGAGGGAGGGAGGGAGGGAGGGAGGGAGGGAGGGAGGGAGGGAGGGAGGGAGGGAGGGAGGGAGGGAGGGAGGGAGGGAGGGAGGGAGGGAGGGAGGCAGGCAGGCAGGCAGGCAGGGAGGCAGGGAGGGGTTGAAGGTGTTGTAAGGGGCGATCTGCAGCGAGGGGTTGTCTCCGAGAATGACGGGGCGGGAGTTGCAGCCGAGGTAGAACACGCACTCGCGGCAGTTGGCTATGCGGATGCGAGCGCAGGGGGCGATGAGGGTTAATCGCTCACAGGCTTCGACCCGCACCACCTGGAGAAGAGAGGGAAGGAGTGAGGAGGGGGGGAAAGGGAGGGAAGGAAGGAGGGAGGGAGGGAGGGAGGGAGGGAGGGAGGGAGGGAGGGAGGGAGGGAGGGAGGGAGGGAGGGAGGGAGGGAGGGAGGGAGGGAGGCAGGCAGGCAGGCAGGCAGGGAGGCAGGGAGGGGTTGAAGGTGTTGTAAGGGGCGATCTGCAGCGAGGGATTGTCTCCGAGAATGACGGGGCGGGAGTTGCAGCCGAGGTAGAACACGCACTCGCGGCAGTTGGCTATGCGGATGCGCGCACACGGGGCGATGAGGGTGAGCCGCTCACAGGCTTCCACCCGCACCACCTGGTGGGGGAGGGAGAGTTGAGGGGGTTGGGGGGTGGAAGAAAAAGGGTGGAGAGATGGGGGGCACGTCTAGCTGTACACATCAGCATCATGCGCGTCATGTACACATCATACTCGTGGGCAATTTCAAAAGAGTCATGCGCGTCTCCACTCGTGGGGGCGATTTCAAAAGAGTCATGCGCGCCTCCACTCGTGGGCAATTTCAAAAGCGTCATGCTCGCACTCGAACCACCTGGGGTGGAGGGAAGGGGGGGAGGGGGGAAAGCCCCTCCTCTCTCTCCCCTTCAACCCTTCTCTCTCTCCCCTTCAACCCTTCTCTCTCTCCCCGTCACCCCTCCTCTCTCCCCGTCACCCCTCCTCTCTCTCCCCGTCACCCCTCCTCTCTCCCCCCCTCACCCCTCCTCTCTCTCCCCGTCACCCCTCATCTCCTACCCTTCACTCCTTCTCCCTCTCCCATTCACCCCTCGTCTCTCTTCCATTCACCCCTCGTCTCTCTTCCCTTCACCCCTCCTCTCTCTCCCCTTCACGCCTCCTCCCTCCCTTTCACCCCTCTTCTCTCTACCCTTCACTCCTTTTCCCTCTACCATTCACCATTCCTCTCTCTCCCTTCACCCCTCCTTCACCCTCCTCCCCCTCACCTTGCCCACAGCGCCCAGCACCACAAAAGAGTCGGAGCAGCCAACAACAGCGCTGGTGTTGGCAAAAGGACGGTATGCAACACGCAACACACCCCTCCTCCCTTTCACCTTCACCCCTCAACCCTCCTCACCTTGCCCACGCAACAACCATTTGCCCCTACTCCCATCCTTTCCTCTCACCTTGCCCACGGCGCCCAGCACCACAATGGAATCGGAGCAGCCAATAACGGAGGCGTACTTGAGAGGAGCGAGCACGTAGATCACACTGTCGTGACAGTGCGCCACCTGGGGGCCACAGCGGAGGGAGGTGGTTAAGGGGGGAGAGGCAGAGGTGGTAATGTGAGAGGAGCGAGCACGTAGATCACACTGTCGTGGCAGTGCGCCACCTGGGGGGGGAGCGGAACAGGAGGCGGGGGGAAAGGCAGGAGAGGAGGAGGGAGGGTTTGTGGATCATCAAGGGGAGCGAGCACGTATACCACACTGTTGTGACAGTGCGCCACCTGGGGAGGAGGGGGGCGGAGCGGAAGGGGGGGCGAGGAAAAAAGGGGGGGTATTGAAAATGTGTGGGCGTACTTCTTTGGGAATGAAGGGGAGGGATTAGGGCGTACTTGAGGGGAACAAGCACATCGATCACACTGTCGTGGCAGTGCGCCACCTGGGGGGAGGGAGGAGAGGAACGGGAACAGGGGATCATGTGGGATGATGAGAAAACAGTAGGGTTTTGTGCGGGTGCTGTAAGGGGCGAGAGCAAGCAGGTGTACTTGAGGGGAGTGCCACGGCAGGAAACGAAGGCGTGGGCGGGGAGGACGAGACGACGGAGAGGTGAAGGGGGAAAGGGCGAACGGCGGAAGGTGTTTCAAGGTGCGCTGAGGAGAACAAGGTTGGGAGGGAAGGAGGGAAGATGAGGGGGGGAGAAGGGGGGGGGAAGAGGGGGAGGGAGGAAATTGAGGGGGGTGGTGGGTGTGGGGACTTCTATTGGACCATGAGGTGAGGATCCCCCAGCTACACCTGGGGACTTGGTTACTTTAGCATGTTGGCATTAATTCACCCGTTACTTCGTTACTTCCCTTCGTTTTTCCCAACCAAAGAGGAGCAACTCACCCGCACACAGCTACTGTCCACCTCCGTCTCTCCCTTGAGCACCGACATCTTTGCAACCCCATCAACGGTCGTCATCCCTGCCGCCACCCACACACGCCGCGACAGCACGCCACCTGTCATCGCCCCATTGGCCGCGGCCCCTCTAGGCGATCCCTGAACCTCCGGCCCTGCGCCTGCCCCGCTCCCCGCAACTGCTCCCCCTTCCCCCATGGGCGTATCTCCGCTTTTGGTGGGGGAGGCGGCGGTATCTCCGCCCCTATCCGCGGGGACCTTGGCGGGGCGGGAGGGGGACTGCGGCCTTAGGTCCGGGCCGTGGTCGGACGTGCAGCAGAGCCTCGGGCCGAGCCAGTCTTGCGCCACGGAGAGAGGTACGGGCGCGGGAGGCATGGCAGCGTCAGCTTCGGCAAAGAAAGGGGCGACTTGCGAGAGGAGGAGGGAGGCGACTCCGGGTCGGTTGACCCGAAGGAAGAGACCCAGCAGCTCGAACTTGTCGATAGAGATCACCTGAAAGGGAGGGAGAGGGCGGAGGGGGTGACGGTGTGGGAAGGGGGGGGAGGGGAAGAAAGGGAGGTTGGGGACATATACGGGGACATGGGAGGTGCGGAGGGATTAGGGAGACTGGGGGAATAGATGGGGGGAAGGAAAGGGATAGGGTTGGAGGAAGGGAGAAATAGGGCGGGAGGAAGAGAGGGGGGGGGGAACGATGGGAGGAATGGGATGGGACGAAGAGGCAGGTTGGAAAGTATGGGAGGGATGGGGTGGATAGGAAGGGATCCTGTGAGGCAGAGTGGCGAATGGATAGGCGTCGACACTAGGGGAAGCGACAGGGTGAAGGAGAAGGGTGAGCTTGGGCGCACAAGGGAGAGAATGAGTGGGTAAAAAAGTGCTGCTCCAACACGCCAAGGAGCGAGTATTACTGCTTCCACTTATTGAGCTAGTTAGCAAGCGAGCACTGTTGCTCCAACACGCCAAGAAAAGCTCACTCCCTCACCTGTGTGCCGGGTTCAGTGCCGTCACCACCAGCAGCATCCGAGCCATGTTCCGCCAGCAGCTGTAGCCCGGCGGGGAGGTTCTACTTTTGAGGCGCCTCAAAAGCGGACGGGTTTCTATAACTTGCCTAGGCGCTAGCGCGCACTGCTGTTAAAACACGCCGAAAAGCGCTCACTCACTCACCTGTGTGCCCGGTTCCGTGCCGTCACCACTACCAGCAGCATCAGAGCCATGTTCCGCCAGCAGCTGTAACACGGCGGGCAGGTTCTTCTGCAGAAACGACAGCTGCTGCTGCTCCTCCTCCGCGTGCCCCGTTTGGAACCGCTGCCGGGTGGCCAGGCTTGTCTTTATCTGTTGGCGTAGTGATGACGGGTTCACGCCGAAAACAAGGGGGAGGGCGAGTCAGACGTGCTGTGGAAACGGAGCAATGTGTGGCAGGTTTCGGAACGTACTGATAGCTTGAGTGAGACAATGCAATCTCAAAGTCAACCTGGTATCGGAACTAGTAACCCTAAAGCAATGAGCGACAATCACACAAGACTTTCTACAAGCGATGGTGTCTGGCGAGACCCCAAATGGCGCGGCCAGCATCCGGCCCGCTCGGTACTCTACTGTTCGCTGCTCTGCTCAAACTTTCGTTATAATCAGCTCCGACATTATCACAACTATGTCACCGGTGACTTGCCCAAGCAACCTCCGAGACGTCTTACAACTCGCCTAAGCACATTGCGGAGACAAGGAAAACATGTGCTAACGAACCCGTTAAGAGTTGCATTCGCCCAGCAGCACTAACAATTCCTCACACTCTAATCAACCGTACCGAACAATGGTTACAGATAGACAGGACCATTCATGCCCGAAATGCCACACAAACATAGTTTCGGTCATTGTACTAAAAACGCCGATATCAGAACCCACTAAGAATGCCATCGGGGAAAAACTGCGGAGCAGAGGTTGCAGTAGGCGAAACCGCATCAAGCGCGGAGACGAGCTAAGAGGGCTCACATCGCCGAACACAGAGGCATCGCCGGACGAGCGTTTGCATCCGGCATTTGAACGCCAGATGTTTCGTCGAGACATTTTCTATCCACCTAAAATACCTCGAAATTTTCATAAACGCTCTCTTCGGCCAGACGGAATCGAGCGGCGGCAACGGCCTCTGCAGCCAGACGCTGGCGCGCACAGCAGCATTTCTAGCCAGCAGCTAGACATCTAGGTGACGAGTAAAAGCGAGGATTTCCCCCTCTATCAGACGTGCGTTTTTGCTGACTCGCTTATCAGACATCGGCGCGCACAGCGCATTGCGGCGGCGGCCCCTCGGGTAACACGGATTGTCAAGGATTGTCAAGGATTTCTCCCCTCTACCGAACCTGATTTCTTTTGTCGACACACTTATCAGACACTGGTGCGCACAGCAGCATTGCGGCAACGGCCCCTCCGTGACGAGAATGTCTATAAATGATTTTGTTCCTATTAAAGGACATTCGTGTGAAACATGCCGAGAGAGAACGTTACCTGGAGGGCGGAGGTCGCGGTGGGGGAAACAGAGTCGAACGGCCACGGCCCCTGCAGCCACACGTCCGCGGGGTCCCTATGAACGCTGCCCCTCTATCAAACGCTACTAAAATGACCCGTAACAGGAGAGAACGTTACCTGGAGGGCGGAGGTCGCGGTGGGGGAGACAGAGTCGAACGGCGACGGCCCCTGCGGCCACACGTCCGCGAGAACGGCAGCGTCGCGGGACGAGCGGTTGGGAACGCGGCGATACCGCTGGAGGAAGAGGAAGAGCAGCAGGAGGTCCACGTCAGTTCCGATCTTCGCCGCATCTGACGGCGACGCGTCGGACAGCGAGTCGATATCTTCGCTGCCGGTGGGGAGAACGGACGCTAGCGTGTCTAGAACGAGCCGCGCTTGGTCTTTAGAGAGCTTGAGGCACGATTCTATCGCCTCGCATGTGACACGTGGCTCTTGCGAGCCGTCGCGAGTCGGGGAGGTGGTCGAGGCGCCTTCGGAGTTTAAAGACGCGTCGATGAGGCGCTGACGGAGGAGCTTTAGGGTTTCAGTGGACGCTTCCTTGTACGATGCGATCGCGGGGATAGGCAGGAGGCCGAAATCGAACGGTTCTCGTCGCACGTGCAGCCACGGGTTCCCCGGTGCGCGCTCTGATGCCTCCGCCATAGTTCCCCCTCCCTAAGTCTGCAGTAGCAGGAAATGTGGGATGAAATGTGATGTTGGTAAAAATGTGTACGGAAACTGACACGCCACGGTTTCGGGTTTCGACTAAGCGATCAAATAGGGATCGAAATGTTCGACTTAAAAGGGTTAGTACGGTTACTGATTTTATGGTGTCTAGCGATTGGCTAAGATAGAGCACGATTAAGGGAATCGAGACTTGGAGACTCACAATGTCGAAGAAGGAAAGAGAGTGATTTGGGTCACTTGACGTTCTTCATAAGGAAACGATTAAGATAAACATGCGCATCGGGCTTCGCGAGACGACGGCCGTTAGAGGGTGAGAGTAATTATAATTTTAGGTAAGGAGTTTCAGGCTGAATCAAGTGGCGTAACACACAAATGCGGTGCTAATAATGCGGTATGGTATGACGGCCCTATTCTGCACGACGCAAACGCCGTTTGACTAACTCCTAATCGGACCACGAGCCGAGGTCTAATTAGGTATGGAGCAACAGATCCGCCAAAAGTAGGAGAAATAGGGCCGTTCCGCCATAAGTAAGGGAAAATGGAAGCGGAAGAAGATGGAATAGTGGAGGGCGCAGCAGCAGGATCAAACCTGAGTCGCGCGCGGAAGCGGAAGCGGAAGCGGAAGAATGTCTCGAGCTCTCCGCAGCAGTGCGGGGCCTTTGCGGAAAAGCGCGGTCTTCCGGCAACCCAAAGCGCCTACCTAGAAATTGCCGCCGTGCGGGGATGCCCCTCGCGGGAGGTTGCGGGTGAGGTGTGGTCTTTCCGCCGCTCTGGGATAAAGGCCACCGCGTGAGGCTTGGGTGAGCGGGGTGGTAGGGTGAAGCTGGGTGGGTGAACTCGGAAGATCAGGAGCCACGTCACGGACGGACGAAAAGATCAATGCTTTTGTTCTACCGCCATTTTTAAAGGCGTGTAACATGAAGTACTTGTTAGAGTTTATATGACTTTTAATAAACTAAGAAACCTCTAGAGCCATCCATTGTCGGTCACACATTTGAGCTCATCGGTAGTACGATCCCATGAAGAACAAACTGACGCTTGTAAACAGGGTGATGAACGTTTCCTGTAAACACCAACAGCACAATGGTTAATGCAGAATTATCGATATGCCCCTCACTAGTTACGGTGCCATGACTTTCACTGATGAAGCCGAAACGGTGGGAAAGCAGTTTCCAAGCCTCACCTGGAAGGTGTAAAGTGCACGTGGAACATACATCCCAGCAAGCGAGTAGGCCTTAATCAGGAGAGTGTGAACCTGAAATGGCAAAAACAAGTTTGTGTCAAGTCGTGCACAGACTTCAGCCGAAATGCCATTGCATGATTACCACCATTGCGAGCCGATATGATTGCGCGAGTCCCTCCCATCCATACCAAAGAGGCAAGAGCAATGACGCCAAAGACAAGGCTAAGTGCCCGTGTGAGTCGCCGCCCGTTCCTCTGCCATCTCTTCTCCCCTTCCTCCTGCACCAATGGTGGAGAAGCATCAAGAGAGATTGAGTGCAACAGCAAGAAACACAAGGAGCAAACAGAGCAGACTTTAGGTTTTTTGGGGGGACGGGAAAGGACGGTATGAAGGTTGAGTTTGACGGATGCTTTGGATTGAGGTTGGGGTGTAGAAGAGTAATTGCATACAGTGTTTTGCGGGTAGAAGGGGTCGAGCTTCATGAAGAGCTGGAAGATGTAGAAGGAGAGGAGGAACTGCAGGATCTTCCAATCTGTGCTCTGCGCCCCCACCATCCACACCGCCTGCAGATGAAAGAATGGAAAGGAAGCGAGGATGGGGAGAACCTTTTGCTGCCATAGCTACAGGGATTAGAATGTGGTGTCATGGCAATACCATTGCTACAGTGTCATACATCTATCATGTTACAGTGTTACCATGGCAGTGGAGACAGCAGCGTTGATGAGGATGCCCTTGTTGTCAGCCTTCTCATACGGCAGCCACCATTGCTATGGTGTTAGTGTTACAGTGTTACCATTCTACGGTGTTACAGCATTACCATGACGGCGAAGACAGCCGAGTTGATAAGGATGCCCTTGTTGTCCGCCTTCTCATACGGCAGCCACCATTGCTATGGTGTTAGTGTTGTGGTCACTACTGTGTTGCACTGTTACCACGTTACGGTGTTACCATGACAGTGGAGACAGCCGAGTTGATAAGGATGCCCTTGTTGTCCGCCTTCTCATAACGCAGCCACCATTGCTATGGTGTTAGTGTTACAGTCACGATCGCTACGGTGTTAGTGTTACAGTCACTACAGTGTTACACTGTTACCATGTTACAGGGTTACCATGACAGCAGAGACAGCAGCATTGATGAGAATGCCCTTGTTGTCAGCCTTCTCGTAGCGCGGCAGCCACGGGAGAAATTCCGTCTGGTCGGCAAACTTGATGTCTTTCGAGACCTCGAGAGAGCCATATGTCACTCCCTTCTTGCGCATGGTGAGCTGGCGCATCATGATGGCATCGTATGCCCTGTCGATCTGGGTACCCGGGTGAGTGGGGGAGAGGAGAGAGAAACGAGGGGGGTGGGTGATGTCTAAGTTGGCCCAAACGTGACGCCGTGCTTGCGCATCGTCAGCCGCTGCATCATCATGGCATCGTAAGCCCTGTCGATCTGTATGCCCACGAGGGGGAAGGTGGGGGGGAGAAGGGAGGGGCGAGAAGGGGGGGGGAGAAGGGAGGGGAGAAGGGAGGGGAGAAGGGAGGGAGGAGAAGGGGGGGAGGGAAGGGAGGGGGTGAGTGAGTGGCGTTAGCACTGACGAGCTAGGGCAGTAGATTGTTGTATAGAAGCAGACGGGCAGGCAAGCAGTCATACGGGCAGCCATTCAAGGACCATCAAAATACAAAACCCCAAACATTCCTCAAACCCCCCTCCTCACCCGCTCTACCTCCGCATCATTGCCCTTTCCCTCAGCATTCCCCAACCTGTCCCCTTCCCCCGAACCTCTCCCTCCCCCTCACTACCCTCTCCCTTAACCATGCCAAACCCCTCTCTCACCCAACCTATCTCCACCTCATCCCCATTACTCCCAGCCCCTCCATCTTTCACCCATGCCTGGCCCCCATTGCCCTCCGCGTCACCCAACCCACAAGCCCCCTCTCGCCCTCTATCTTTCTCCCTGCCCCCGAAACATGCACTCTCCACTCTCCCACCCCCCTTCACCCGCTCTATCTCCGCCTCGTCCCTTTTCCCCTCCCTCCCTCTACCACGGCCCCTCCCACCCCCTCACCCGCTCTATCTCCGCCTCGTCCCTTTTCCCCTCCCTCCCTCTACCACGGCCCCTCCCACCCCCTCACCCGCTCTATCTCCGCCTCGTCCCTTTTCCCCTCCCTCCCTCTACCACGGCCCCTCCCACCCCCTCACACGCTCTATCTCCGCCTCGTCCCTTTTCCCCTCCCTCCCTCTACCACGGCCCCTCCCACCCCCTCACCCGCTCTATCTCCGCCTCGTCCCTTTTCCCCTCCCTCCCTCTACCACGGCCCCTCCCACCCCCTCACCCGCTCTATCTCCGCCTCGTCCCCCTTGCCCTCCGCGTCCCGCAGCTTCTTCCGCCATTCTGCGGCCTCAACCCCCACCTCGCTCCTCCTCCCGACTCCCCCTGTTCCCCAACCCCCCTCCCCCTCTCACCCGCTCTATCTCCGCCTCGTCCCCCTTGCCCTCCGCCTCCTGCAGCCTCTTCCTGTGCATCTAAGTCTCACCACCCCCCCCCCCCTCCCCCTCCCCTCTTGCTCACCCGCTCTATCTCCGCCTCGTCCCCCTTGCCCTCCGCGTCCCGCAGCCTCTTCCTGTGCCATTCTAAGCCTCACCACCCCCACCCCCTCCCTCCCCTATCCCCCAACACCCCCCCCCCCCCCCCCTCCCCCCCCATGCTCACCCGCTCTATCTCCGCCTCGTCCCCCTTGCCCTCCGCGTCCCGCAGCTTCTTCCTGTGCGCCACCTTGATGGCGTCGAACGAGTCCAGGGGGCGCACACCCAGCACCTGGGGGGCGGGGGCGGAAAAGAGAGGGGGGGGGGGGGGGGGAGGGTTGGGGTTGGGGGAGAGTGAGGGGGCAGGTGAGAGGGAAGGGTGCATCGAGCCTCTTCTTCCTGTGCGCCACCTTGATCGCGTCGAACGAGGGGCGCACACCCAGCACCTGAGACAGAGGGGGAGAGGGGCATGGGAAGGGACGGGGGCGGAGGGCGGTGGGGAGGGTAGGGTGAAGGGGAGAAAAGGGCGCAGCATCCCGCAGCTTCTTCCTGTGCGCCACCTTGATGGCGTCGAAAGAGTCCAGCGGCCGCACGCCCAGCACCTGAGAGAGAGCAGGGACGGTGGGGGGGGAAAGCGAGAGAGTGGGGGGTCAGGCGAGGGGGAGGGTGCCTCGAGCCACTTCTTCCTGTGCGCCACCTTGATGGCATCGAACGAGTCCAGCGGCCGCACGCCCAGCACCTGAGAGACGGGAGGGGTGTGTAGGTGGGGGGGAAGGAGGAAAGAAGGGGAGGTAGGGGGGGGGGAAAGAAGGGGGGCGAGGGGGGAGGGGAAAGGCGAAAGGATGGAAAGGGGGAAGGGGGGACGATAGGGAAGAGAGGAACGGATGATGAGAAGGTGTCACCAGGTGGGTGTTCGGGGAAGAAAGGTCAGGAGGCGGAAAGGGGGGGAGGGTGGAAGGGGAAGGCGGGAGGGAAGTGGTGTGTGGGGAGAGTAGACAGGGTAAAAGGATGGGAGACAGGAATGCGAATCACGATTCAAAGGTGAACCTTGTAGGGGTTCAACAAGACTGGTAAAGGTGGCCTTTCAATTTACTCGTGACTGAAGCTGGTGGGGATTCAGCGAACCTGGTAGGGGTCTTCTGCGGGTTGCGAGCCAGGCGAAGCAGCGTTGCACGTGATTCGCAGGCGGTTAGAGCCGCTGCAGTGGCGGGAGTCGGTCCAGAGGGATAGAGAAGGCGAAGGGGGATGGAGAGAGAAAAGGAAGGTGGGAGAAGAAAAAGTTGCAGTCATGGAATCGTTTGGCAAAGCCACAATCCCTGCATTGCACGAAAGACGTGCACGAAATGTTGAGGCTCATGTTTTCGAGTTTTGAGGCCTCTTAAAATGTGGGACTTTTTATATGGTATGGTAACCGTCTGGCGATAGCTAATCGCGGACGAAGACGCAAGTCAGGCAAAAAAAATCTTCACATGCGCATTCGTTGGACATTGCATTAGTCACGGATAGCGGCAAAAAGAATCTTGCGATTAACGTGAAATAATTGTCGCGCTGTCGACGTTGATGGGTTGCCATGTGGACGATGCTCACCCTACAGATGGCCGGCTTCTGCATTGTAGCGGAACAGTTCTCAGCGAGAACAAAGAGACGCTTGTCGCTGACGACAGTCGACTTGATAGCTGTGACGCAGTCGCACAGTTTGTCGCCGTCATCGCTGGCCTGATCGCATGCGACATCGCCGCACTGACCATTGACCTGATCGCTCAAACGCGTGCGATCACACGAGTGTTAAAGCTTCGCTTAACGACAAAACGAGTCGCGCGTGAATCTGACGGCACTAAACACAATCAACGAGGACCTAGACCAGGAGTCTAGGAAATATAACTGAACTGACTGATGCTGGGATTGCTGCTGCTGATGCTGCTTTGTGGAGTTTGGGAGGACCTTGGGATTGGGCCAAAGCGGATAAACCTTGTTGTAGGGTGAAGCGAATGCCACTGTGTTGAAGTTAAAGCAAGGGTGCACTTTGAAGGGGGTGGAGGCAAAGGTTTATCACTTGCCTTCCGTAGTTACCCGGTTTGTGGTTGGGAGTGAGACACGAACAAATATTCAGTGTTGGCGAAGGTGAGCGGTATTCGCTCGCTCCCCCATCAGTAGCGACGGGGGTGATAGGGAGTTGGGAACTTGAGTGTGAACCAAACCGCAGGTGACTCGTATTCCCAGCAACTCATACCCCACCTCCCACTTCCCACAGCGCACCGCCCTGAGAGCTGGATTTCCCGCTAATAACTAGAGCTGCACGCGCACGGGACACTCTCCCACCATCACAACATAGCTCCCGCCGGTGCCCATCGTTCTCACCGCGGCCGCCCATTACCTTATCGCACCCGCATTTCAACGCGTCCGCTCCCGTACCCCGCGGGAACCGAGCGCGCGATTCGCCGCGACCGCGCGCTGGGATCTCCCCACCGGAGGCGTCGAGACTACCGCGCACACAAATCGCGCGTATCGCGCCGTGAAATCCAGTGCTATCATAGCCCCCACGACGCAGCCCACTCCACGCCACTTTACGAAGGACACGCCCTCGCGCAGTAGGTCCGGATACCACGCCATGCCGTGGTCTAGGTCCAGGCCTTACATCGTCTCAAAAACAATCCCCCACTTCGTTTAGTCACCGCATTATCCATCGTGTCAGCGAAACACTCGGTTTCTAACTCCCCTCACTCCCAAACTTCGCTATTTGCTGGCTCCAATCCCTCCCCTTCCTGTGCTCTATCCAGCCCCGGTCCGACCCTCCCTCTGTGTCCTATCGCCATCGCCGCGACCGAGCACCCAGAGCGCCGCGACTGAGCACTCAAATCACGGCATCCAGGCCCGCGCGGCGAGACTATCGCGCCGTCACTGCACGCCTTCCGCGCATTCTCTGTGCTGTCATCGACGCGCCTCTGCGAAGCGCTTACTTTCCGCTTCATAATACGACTCCCACGCCAACGCTAACCAGGTCCGTACTCTTCGCATCGTAACTCCGAGCGCCACCATGCAAAACCAATCGCCCCCCTCTCCATTCTATCCCCTTCCCTTGTCCTATCTCCCTTCTCTGACCTACATCCAATCTCGCCCTACATCCCCTCCCTGACAAAACGGCCCCTTACCTTTCTCCCTTCCCTGTCATCTCTCCCTTCCCTGTCATCTCCCTTCCCTGTCATCTCCCTTCCCTGCCATCTCTCCCTTCCCTATCATCTCCCTTCCCTGTCATCTCTCCCTTCCCTGTCATCTCCCTTCCCTGTCATCTCTCCCTTCCCTGTCATCTCTCCCTTCCCTGTCATCTCTCTCTTCCCTGTCATCTCTCCCTTCCCTGTCATCTCTCCCTTCCCTGTCATCTCTCCCTTCCCTGTCATCTCTCCCTTCCCTGTCATCTCCCTTCCCTGTCATCTCTCCCTTCCCTGCCATCTCTCCCTTCCCTGTCATCTCCCTTCCCTGTCATCTCCCTTCCCTGTCATCTCTCCCTTCCCTGTCATCTCCCTTCCCTGTCATCTCCCTTCCCTGTCATCTCTCCCTTCCCTGTCATCTCCCTTCCCTGTCATCTCTCCCTTCCCTGCCATCTCTCCCTTCCCTGTCATCTCCCTTCCCTGTCATCTCCCTTCCCTGTCATCTCTCCCTTCCCTGTCATCTCCCTTCCCTGTCATCTCCCTTCCCTGTCATCTCTCCCTTCCCTGTCATCTCTCCCTTCCCTGTCATCTCTCCCTTCCCTGTCATCTCTCCATTCCCTGCCATCTCTCCCTTCCCTGCCATCTCCCTTCCCTGCCATCTCTCCCTTCCCTGTCATCTCCCTTCCCTATCATCTCCCTTCCCTGCCATCCCCTTCCCTGTCCTCTCTCCCCTCACGTGCCCTACCTCCCTGCCCTGTCCTATTTCGTGTCCCAGTCCTATCTCCCCTCCCATTCCTATGCCCCCTCTCCGCCCTGTCCTATCCCCCTTCTCTGTCCTCTTTCCTCTCTGAGCCCTCTCTCCCTTCGGTGTATTCCCCCAACCAAACATTCGAACGAAACTGGTAGGCATCGCCTGCCTTGTTCCAATTCTTCGCACCAGCCTTACGAACCCTGCACAATTCGCCCTCGGATCAGCTAGCGCCAAAGGGTGCGCAATGACTATACACCCAAAAAAACCACCCCCAGGAATGTGCACCCTTGCTTTACCAAGGCCCAGATTGGAAACACGTTTTTATAAAACATTGCAAATTTATCCAGCTTCCAGATGTTACGCGGCCCTCATTATCGGAGGTTCCGACCTTCAGCAAGTCCCCCCATTCGTGCTTTCCCAAATTCTCTCCCCAAGCTTCTCTTTCTCCCAAGCTCTTCATTCGTTTCTCGTTGCTCAGCATTGTCTCTGCTTGCGTCCCTGCGTCCTCGCTTGTCGCCCATTATACATCCGGCGTCGTCACGATCACCGTGTATTTCGTTCTTCCTGTGTGTCTGCTTTATTCTTGTAGCACTTTATATTCATACGCTGCTTCAGGGGTCCGTTTTGTGCTGGCTGTTACGTGCACCGTGTTGTGACATTCATTCCAGATCACACCAGAAACATCAGTCCCATCTTTCGTGTTACCGCCTGCTGCTTTTGAGCTATGGTGGTTCAAGCGTCGTACCGCGCGGATATACCGGACCCGGATCCTGCGTTTCCCAGCTCGCCATCCGTGACAATACCAGAATCGGGCTGTAACGAATCCGTCAAGAGACCCGCTATAGCAGGAGCGCGACGCCTTCTTCAGAGACGGCTCCGGATCGGCATAACGGACGGTCGAGTGTTTGTAGGCCGGTTCAACTGCCTGGACAAGGAAGGGAATATTATCCTTCACGACACTATCGAGTTTCGTCGCGCGTCTGCCGCCGCGGATCCCGCAGATCCCCGCAAGAACGAGTCGCTGGAAGAGAGAATGGCGCGTGCCACGTCAGCGGATCCGAATCCGCTGGTGGAACAGCGGCGGCTGGGATTGGTGCTGATTATGGCGAAGGATCGGGTGTGGTGTGACGTGGAATGTGGACTAGAGGAGAAGCTGGAAGGCACAAGCCTTAGTTGAGCTGCTAAGGCTGCGTTCATCTTTCGTGACAGGCTACCCGAGACAAGGTCCTTGACAATCTAGGATATGTAACCCCATCAGCAAGGCTGCTGCTGAGTGCTGACGTGACAAGATCTCAGAATTGCTGGCTGAAACACAGGATGTATGGAAGTATAGCCACTAGCTAGCAGTACTCTGAAATGAGCTGTAGGTTGTCTGTGCCTCTCACTCAATAATAATACTGTGCTTGCAGGGCATTGACAAGGCAACTCTCTCTCACCTCAGGCCTACTGGGGTGCGTGCATTGAAGTAATACTCCAACAGAAGCACCTAACTCCGCCATCTAAAGGTGGTATGCGTATGCCTTTCATCACCTGTCAAGCAGGTAGGGTACGCTGCTGAATGGACTTCTGAATAGTCCACCAGCTCTGCCTGCTTGCTAAACATGGAATCAACTTGCAGGACAATCAACTTGCAGGGCGGGCACAGGCTGACACCATATAGAAAGCTCTCTTTCATGGCAAGGAGTGGATCTCCACAAAAAAAAAAACCACACATACGCAAAAGGATCCCGCCAACCGGATTCGAACCAGTGACCTAAGGATTGCTCAACTACAGTCCTCCGCTCTACCAACTGAGCTATAGCAGGATGTCTGTACGCCGCATGGGACATTATCAGGTAGATAGTACGGGCCCTTCCTTTGCACACCAAATTTCCTGCATTTATGGCGTCAAAATGGCGCCTTGCGTCGTTCTTGTCTCTCGCCGTGTGGTGCGCGCTTCTTCAACCGCACGGAGCAGCCTCTGATGCCCTGCTGGACGGATGGGAACCCCTCGGCCCTGAACCCAAGGACCAGCCCACTCTAGCTCTATATCGCGTACGGGCTTCCGTTGTTCCCATCCATCCGCCCGTTAGCGTGACCCTGCAATTTTCGAACTGCTTGTCTCCAATTTCTCTCACAACTCGCCCTGCCCTTCTTTCCGCCGCCGCCGCCCCCGCGCTCCCCCATCCCGTCCCCCTGCAGGCGTGGGAGAGCGCCTATGGCCTGCAGCGGGGCTCCCTCCTTCCGCCATCGCCCCTCCCCCTTCCGCCCGACCATCCCCCTCCCCCGCCGCCGCCCCCGCGCTCCCCCATCCCGTCTCCCTGCAGGCGTGGGAGAGCGCCTATGGCCTGCAGCGGGGCTCCCTCCTTCCGCCATCGCCCCTCCCCCTTCCGCCCGACCATCCCCCTCCCCCG